AAATCTCCATCCATTGAGATTTTGCATAAATGCAAGAGAATCTTTTAGCTTCTTTTATATTATTTCGAAAACCACAAAAGAAAAATTACATAATGTCTATGAATTATAGTATAATTATCATTAAATAAAAACATTACACTCCATGAAGTAACATTCCTTGAGCAGGAACATCATTTCCGTTTGATGTAACCGTAGACCCATTAGTTTCAAACATCATTGAATTTAAAGTTGGCATGATGTTCACTCCATTAATACATTTATTAGGAGCAATTCCCTCGAAATATTCTGACATTAAGCATGTCTTCACTAACTTTTGTGTCATTTGTGGTACTGGCTTGAAATGTTCAGTAGAAGCACCACTTAAATCTGAAAGCAAATTATAAATCTGACGTTGTTTGTAAGGGTGCCGACATATTTGTGTATTGGTGATAAGTGGATATAGTACTCGAAGATATGTATGTCGAAGCTAAAAAAAAAAAAATAAATTATATAAAGTAAAATACGATATTCATATTCATAAAATATATATATATATATATTCCTACCGCTTCACTCTCTTCTGGTAAATCGTAAAGTTCTCGAATGAAAACATCAATCACCACACGTAAGTCATTCGTATAAAAGTATTCAGTTGTTTCTGGTGTAGTGAACACCTCATATAGCAACTTTAGAATGAGCATTTGTATATGTGGCTCAACTTTTTTTAAGAATAGTCAGTTTTGTTTTCACACCACGTATAAAAGTTGAATAAGTTGAATGTTAAAGAAGTACCATCCTACCTGCACGATTAAACATGAATATTACATTTTCTCCAAAGGTTTTACTAGTCCCAATACGTGCAGACAACACTCTTATCAAAGTATTGTGATTTAAATAATTATCCTCATCATCGATCATTCCGTGGACAGCTAGCATAAATTGTTCATTTAACGACAACTAATGGAGATAAGATTAAGAAAGTCATGCAGTAAATATATTTTACGTTAGAGGATATCAAAATTAATTTTCCTGGAGAGATAACTGACGCTTACCATCAAATGGATAACTGAATAATTAAAGGTTTCATCCTCTTCATCTCTTGTATTCTCTACCAAGTTAAGGAGATAGTCAAAAAATTGATCATCAAAAATGCCTGCAATGCATTGAAATATTTAATTAAAATAGGAATGAATTGAAAGAAATAATGTTATCACGCACAACATTGTCAAATATGAAATAAATTACTTAGTTCATTTTGTGATATACGTTGACCGCGACAAATTTCAAACAATAGATTCACTGCAATTTGCTGCACTCTACGCTCTAATTACATATATTAAGGAAAAGGTTTTTTTTTTTTTTAAAAAAAAAATATATATTTTACATGTTGGACAATCACATATACAAACCTTTGTCTAAATCACAAATATGTTCGTCTAAATCACAAATATGTTTGTCTAAATCACAAATACGTTCCTTCAGCTTCAAAATAAAGCCATGCTCTCGAGGACTAATCATTAATTTAAATATCGTTGGATTATCTTTGCCCGAGAGGCACAAAATATTATAGATCACCAATAATTCATTCAATTCGTTACGTGTTGTTGCTCGATGTATCATATGTACAATTATTATGTTAGAAAATGTCTGATACATTGGTGAATTCAGAAGCTTGTAGAAGCATTGCGTTAATTTCGATTCTGTTTTCAAGTATTCATCTACATATATAAAATAAGATCGTTAATTACAAGTTATAACAACAAAAATAAACTGTATAAGAAACAGATCATATCACCTTGAAATTTTGAGACAAAATTGATGTATGCATCTATCGATCTTTTTGCAGTGTCTTGATTTTGTTGACCTTGGGCTAAAATGTCATCCAATTCTGGTCCAAATAAATTTGGTAAATTTGAAATGTAGGAAAACCATAAAGTGGAATTAACGAATATAAAATCTACTTACCAATCCAAAATTGTTCAGAATTTTCCAAGTGATAGATTATGTCGTCATGCATTGTGTGACAACTGGTTTTTCGAACAAGCGTAAAAGATATTTTTGTGAATAAGAATTTTTTTTATATTAAGATTTGAAAGGTAAGATGACATTTTTTCACAGTCAAAATGTTTAAAATAGTTAGTTGTTCTAACAATAGATTCTATTTAAAACTTTTTAGCCCACGTGAGGCTGTTGAATGATCCAAACAAGGTTAGACAAACGTCTTGTTTTTACCCCAGTTAAAGGCGAAAAAAATCGATAACTTTGACGTGAAAAATTCAAATTTAATATTGAAATATACAGATATTTAAAATTTTCAATGCAATGACTTACCAAGAAAACTAAGTGTGAATGAATTAAAAAAACTATATAAAAAAGTTCTATTAATCTCCTTTTCGAAAGATATGAAGGATGGAATTATCGAAAAGATATAAAGGATGAAACTAAGAACGAAAAAAATTGTAAGTTTATACCAAGCCTATTTTTAACAACAATTAAGAATTTAAGAATTTAGAGGATGGAAACAGAGGATGGAAACAAAGGATGAAAGACCGAACCATAAAGTTAATACATTGGCCAATATTGCCTTATTGGTTCATAAGAATGTTCCCGAAAATCTCCGCAACACAGCAGTACGTACATACCAATACAAATCATGAATTTATAAATGCTAACGCATATACATATTATATCACATGCTACATTAGTCGTCAAAAGTCAGGATGACTTCCAAAGTTAATATGCGTCAGGATATGGGATCACATAATCAATAACTATATATATATATATTAAAGATAAGAATACGTACTACCGCTACATTGACACTACCCTAATAATGGAAGGTTTCAAGTGTTGAACTACTTATACGTAACTGATTTACTTTATTCTAGAATTGTTTGCTCTTACATTTTTCGAAGGTCAAAATTTCCGGCATATATTTCTACCTTTCCCTTTATACGACCATAGTGTGCCAGATATGGGAGATCAGGCAGAATCAACCCGGAGCCCGTTTCACTTTCATATACTGAGGTATTTAATGCAAGTACAGTATGATTGCATAGGTATAGTGATGATCATTAAGATTTTTATTCATTAGCGAGCGTACAAAACTCCATTCCTGAAACAGCAAATGTACACAAATAAAATTACATTTACGTACGTACGTACGTACTAGATTTCTCTTACTGTATTTTTTAACATAACAAATCTTTTTTTATTTTTGCTTACGCATAAATTATTTTATTTTAACGAATATATATAAAGAACTTTGCTGCTTTGAAGATGCATTAAAAAAATACGTACATACGTACGTACGTACGTACTAATTGTAATTTATTTATGTATATATATTTGCTGTTTTAGGATTTACTAATTAACGATAATAAAAATGATTGTAAATGGAATTTTTTAATACTTAGAGTAGAATTTATTCCATCGCCATATTAATCTACACCATAAAATCCTAAATTCCAAACCCGAAAAACATCTAAAACCGTGTATGGCATATAATTTTAGTTATTTACAGCTGTTTTCAAAAAGGTGTGAACAACGATTTCCACATACCTATGTGGGGAATCGAAGAATTGGGAAATTATCATTAGTAAAACTTCCCGTGATATAGTTATTTACATCTGTTCACACCTTTTTGAAAACAGCTATAATTAATAAAATTAAGGTTAGATAGTTAGGGTGATGGCAAATATACAATTTACTGTATATAGAATCGCCTCCCCCGACATTTCCTCGACATTTCCTCGATATTTTTCTACGACATTTCTTCGTTTCCTCGACACTTTTAATTAGTGCTTTCTTATTAGGCTGATTTGTGTTAATCCAAATAAACAGTTTTATTGGCTATATGTATACGTACGTACGTACTTCAATCTAGTGATTTGAATCGGTTAAGCTATATTCGGTTAATCGACCCGAACTGAATAAATTTCGGTAACCGGTTGAGGAATTCTTAATCAGTTGACCCGATACAACCGGTTGAGAATTGGGTAATCGGTTGACGGAATCGATATACAGTATACCCTCTCAAATCCGGTATGCATGGTGAACAACTTTTGTATCAGTTTTGGGAGGTTATCGGGTTTAAAATACTAATGGACAGCTGGTCACATGATTACAAATAAATATAATTGGCTGGATTATATTTCTTATCTATATAATCTGTTACACAAAACCCGATCTGAGCCAATCAAATCGATTTATGTTACCTGTCAAATCTGATATCCTATTGATATCTGATCTTTTGGGTATCGGTTATCAAAAATGGCTGGTTATCGGGTTTGAATTATGGAACAGACATGGTGGAACAATTTTTTATCAGTTATAGCAGGTTATCGATTTTGACAGGATCGGTTTTGGAAGGGTGTACTATAATATGAAAATGACGTAAGGAGAACAGGAGGGACCGTCCCAAATAAGGAAATGATGATCCCGATCATGCATATTGGTTTAGCCAATCAAAATTGTAAAT